GAAAAAATTTCTTCACTGCAAGAGTGATGAGGCATTGGAACAGGTTGCCCAGGGACGTGGTGGAGTCACCACCCCTGGAGGGGGTCAGGAAACGTGTGGATGTGGTGCTTGGGGACATGGGTTAGTGGGTTGGGTGGGGTTGGGTTGATGGTTGGACTTGATGATCCTTGAGGTCTTTTCCAGCCTTCATGATTCTGTGATCTGTAGGCTCCTTGCTCAGAGGGTCGGGGAAATGCCACATGGTGGGAACTGCTAGTCTGAGCCTTGGGGGCAAAGGTAGGAAATGTGGGAGAGGGAATTGGTCCTGCTCAGTCTTATCTCAGCATCCTTCAAGGTGATTAAAACTGTGAAAAGAGTTTGGAGCTAAGACCTTGCTGGGAAACTGGAGACCGTGTCCAAGTGAGATGTGGAACAACTGCTTTGGGAAGTTCGTTAGGGTCTCTGGACTGTGGCAGATGTGAGGTGGAAATGCTGGATTCCAAACAGCGGGTATTTGCAGGGATGGGGATAGAAGGTTTGCTCTTGTAGCCGATAACATTTGATCTTCAGTAACAACAAGACCCGTGGTTTGCCATTTCCTAAGAATAAAGGTTATATTTGGTGTCAGGCTTTGGTGTACGCCATGTAAATAGTACCGAAGGATGTGTTGAATCATTGTTTGAACTGTATCAACCGGGGTGCACTCTTTTAAAGTACGATTGTTTTGATCTGTTCCCTGTGTGTGTGTGTTTTTTTTTTTTTTTTGCAGCTTTTCCGACGCGTGGCAGCTGCCTTGCCTGGAATGGAAAGCACACAAGACAAAAGTAGAGAAGACAGTATCCTTTATGCGGCTGTGCTGCGATTCAGCCGTGGCAAAGCGCTGCCAGGCGTTACCGTGAACGGAGAAAATGCAGGCCTGGAATAACAAGGGTGAAGAAGGAGAGGGCAATATCTCTCCTGCAGACCTCGGTCAGCTTTTGGACATCCCAAAAAAACGCCTGAGAGGAGGAATTAGGGGCAAGTAACCTCTGAGCTCGAAGTACTGAGGAAGAAGAGGCTGGGATGAGGAGCGTTAAGGGTGGAGGCAGGGGAAGAAGGGATGCTGATGGCTCTGAGGTAGCATAAAAGTGACAACAACTGAATGAAAGCTGAAGGGAGGACAATGGGAAGGTGCAGAAGGGTCTAAACAGACCCAGAAAGATTCTTTGCTGGGTGTTTGAGCAGGTTGGATGTGGGGAGGGAGGGGGAGACTAAGGAATGGGAGAAAACAGCTGCAAAGTGGCCTGAAAAAAATTTATTTGGCTCTTGCAGAGCAGATGCTCAGATCTGATTTGCACAATTTTAGAATAAGGTAGGTTGGGAGAGACCTCTGTAGGTCCCTTCTCCAATCTTCCTGCTCAAAGCAGGGCTAACTCCAAAATCAGGCCAGGTTCTCAGGGAAACTTCAGAAGTCTGAAGTGGGATGGGGTGCACCCCCAGCAAGTTTGCCGATGACA